TTCTGTCTCCATTTCGTGCTCCTGTGTACATAGAGTTTTGTTCAAGAGGCACAACTGGATTTTGTGCTGTTCCTCAAAAGCAGATCCCAGTGCTTTGCCTGCCAGCAGGTTAATCCTGCACAGCTCTCCAGTGCCCCCCCTGTTTTGGGAGGTGCTTCAAAGCCCAGTGTACAGATCCTCTATGTAAGCCCAGAGCATCCCTGAGCATCCTTCTCTTGTGCCTTAAACCCTGGCATAAACAGGAGCAGCTGTCAGAGAACATTAATGCTCACTGTGACCAGCCCCACAGACTAGAAACTCCTGGGCCACATCCCACAAAATCCCAGCTGATCCCAAATAACACAACCTGATATTTCTTGATGTCTCTTGGCTTTTCTGTTGTGTTGAGCCCCTTCTCCTTGCTTGCAAATACGTTTTGAAAATCACAAATAGCATCTCACAGGTGAGGATATATCTGGATGTTTCAGACCACCCTCAGGCTGCAGGAGAAGCAAAATGTGGTCATTGGAATTTGTCAGACAGTGTCACCACACAGCCTGATGAGCAGCTCAGGAGCAAATGCAAAGGCAGAGATTCACAGCACCTGCTGCAGAGTCACAGGGTTTAAAATATCTGCTCTTAAGGATAAATAGGGTGGCAAGAGGTGCCAAAATTATCTTCAGAAGAGCTATTTTTGAAAATTTAATAAAATAGATATATTTAATATAAATGCATCCTGAGTGTACTTTTTTCTTCCCCATTTGTAGCTGCTCATACTTACTGTGTGTGCCTGGGTGCTGGGCTACGACAGAACAGTTGGTGGGAGAGGGTCACTAATGTTCACTGGCTCTAAGGATTCTCTAGGCAGCAGACAGAATATTTTCCTTTCCAGTTTCTCAGCCAGATGCCCTCAAATTCATCACCTGGGCACAGGTGTACATCCATGTGTGTCTCCACTGCAGTTACAGTGAGGAAAAACAGAAAGTGCATTTTTTTTCCAAAATGGAATACGCAATAAATATTTCAGAACCCCATAAATAAAAGTGATTGATATGATCTTTTAAAAACATATTCCCTTTGGGCTCTGACTAAGTGTGAGAAAGTTCAGCCTGAGAAGGAATTGAAAAAACAAACCAGTGAAAGGTTAGAAGCAGGGATGTGGGCTGGAATATGCCTTGCAAATGTTAACTGTGGAGGCACAGTGCTAACGCCTTGCATGTGCAAAAACATTTGGAGGACTGTGAATTTAAACCATGAAATTAATGTAGTCAAAATGAAGGTTTTCTTGCCCACACCTTACTCATACAGGATACAGCGTTTGTAATGTTCTGACAAGGGATGGGATGTGGAGGTGGTTTGCTGGTGTTAATTTATGGTTGAGGAAGGACCTTTTAGCATCTCTGTTTCTTGATTAATTTGCAACATAAATGTTTCCTTAAAGTAAATGTAACTTTTGATTTGTTTTACTTTTCTGGGGGATAGCAGAGCAGAGCCCAGGAAGTTGCTTTGTTCCACTCACTGACACCTTGCCCAGTGAAAAATGTGATACAGTGAATGCTGTGTGTGTGCACACCCACGTGCAGCCACCGCGGTGACCCCTGAATCATTTACAACTGCCTGATTCATTTTCCAGTGCTCTTATTTAATAATTCTCCTGCTCCTTGGGGAGAGCTGTAAAAACGGATTTTATTTTCCTAATGTGTTTGTATTTTAAGTAGGTAAATCTCTTTAGATTCCCATTTGCCAAACAGGGAGATGAATATGTTCATCCGCACATGTAAGTGACCAATGGGCTGAGACCAAGGATGATAAATTTCAGTGCAGGAATTAAGCAAATAGTAAGAAACTGAGTTCAGGAGTTTGCAGTGTGAAGAAATTTTAAGTTTAAAACCTGAGATATTGGAGATACTTATCCCAAGATATGGGGATGGTCAGGCTGGATCTCAGGGCAAGGTTCTTCCCCCAGAGGGTGCTGGGCACTGCCCAGGCTCCCCAGGGAATGGGCACGGCCCCGAGGCTGCCAGAGCTCCAGGAGCGTTTGGACAGCGCTGCCAGGGATGGACAGGCTGGGATTGTTGGGGGGTCTGGGCAGGGACAGGGGCTGCACTCGTGATTCCTGTGGCTCCCTTGTAACCCAGAATATTTTGTAATTCTGTGACCTTTCCTCTGTCTGAGGTGGGTGAAATTTGGAACAGTTCCTGGATATCCAGTGTGTTTCTGTCCCAGTCCCAAAGACGTGCTCAGGAGCAGGACACACATGGGAGGGTTTGATGTTCTGCAAGTCCTGCAGTTCCATAGCTCTGGAGAGGAGCAGTGTCCCTCTGGGTAGTTTTAATCAGAGATTTTAGAAGAGGAGGCTTTCAAGTTGTTTATAATTCTGTGCTCTTCAGATCATCTTATACAGAAAATTGCTAATATGCAATTCTTTCTCAGATGCTGCCCAAATAGATCATGTTTACAGAAATCTGGATGTTAATAGTTGGAAACTAATCTTTTACAGAGTTCCTAGGCAGGTAAATGATAGAGAAATATATTTATTTTAATAAAAAGAGGATAAGAATTTTAGTAATCCCAGACTGTTCTGGTCATCCCTCAGTTTGTCCTCAAGATGCCAGGAGAGTTTTAGTGAAGGCAGAAATACATCCCTGGTATATCCAGTGAGGGATGCACTTTCCATCTTCCAATGTGAGTTGGAATTTAGCAACAAAAGAGGTGTACAACAGCTATGCCAGTGATTATTCCAAATTCCTCTTTCAGCCTGACGTTTTTCTGTTTAGCTGCTTGTTGGCATCTCAGCAATGTTGAACCTGAATAGCAAACAAACCCATACACCTTCAGTATTTTAAGTATTTTAATTCTCAGTAGCTTCCATCCTAAGGATCTTCATAACCGGAAAGGCAGAGGAGTACAGGGATCACCTTTCTGACACCTTTTCCTTTCAGCCTAAGCAGAAGGGTTGGTGTTCATGATTGCCTCTGGTGATTGTGGAGAGGAAGATCCTGCATCCCCCTGGCTAAATTTAATTTCATTTTGTTCGTTAACAGGTTTTTTGGAGTCAGGATCTCTTCTTCAGTGCTGCTCAGTCATTTAGCTAGCACTTCTTCTTTCCACTTTGGAAACCAGGCAGTGATGATCCATGTGAATTCCCATCTGGAAATCACAGTAAGAACAGAATTTCTTGTCCTGGACAAATGAGTAGGAAAAAGTCAGGAGGAAGTTTGCTTTTCATTTATGAAACTCTTAGTGCTACATCATTTAATCCAAGCAGTTTTGAGACAGATGAGTGGTGTGTTCCCAGCCAAACCATTTTTACCCCAGAAGGGGCTTTAAAATAAAATTGTCTTTATTGTGTGTTGTGCAGAACTCCACAATGTGGACTGAATGGACTTTTTCACTTGAGATGGAGCTTCAGGTGCTTATTGATAGCAAGACAAATCTTCCATCTTTTACAGGTTATGTAGGTTCAAGTACACCTACTTTTTAATTGTGCAAGTTGAGGTAGTTCATTGTCAGATTGTTAGGAGCAACACCTTAAGATGCTGATTAGACCATTCTTTATCTTCACCTCATTTACACTTTGAATTTCCAAAAAAAGAACCCTGCCCTGCCCTGAAGTGACACCAGAATGAGGCAGGATGAGACACGATCTGCTCATGTTGTTACGTGTTCTCATGTGTATGAATTCTGTCATGGAGTCTCAATATCCTGCTTCATGATCATGATTTGGGGGATAATTGTAAAATATTTTTGCTTTAAATGGCTGATATTTGCTATTTGTTTGGATTCAACTTGAGCATACTTTTAACTCAGGGACAAGGAAATTCTTTGATGTGTAACATCCTGAGAATGTCTTTTGTCTCTCAGCATCCAGTGAGTAGAGTCCAAGACATCTTTTCCCTAAAGCATTAAAAAAAAAAAATAGAGTTTGTGACCATCAGACTATTCTGAACAAGGGTTAATTCTCCCAGAAATTAAACCAGGATATTGCCCTCTGCAGGGAAATTCCTGGTAATCTAGCATCCAAGTTTCCAAACCTGGTGGGATTATATCCAGGCCTGGATAGTGTGCATTGAAATCTCCATTGTGATACATTCAGCTGACACATGGTTTCAATAAAATATCACACAATTTATAGATGCCTCTGCCTACCGACTTGAAGGCTTAAAAATTGCTGTGAGGTGAATTCAGCCTTGTAGCTCCTGACTGCACCTGTAGCAGCTGGAATGGCTCTGGAGTCCTTCATGGAGAAGGCAAGCACAAACCTGTGGCTCCATGCCAGCTGGAAGGTGAGCCAGCACCTTGCACCAATTTTTGGGTCATTTCAGGGGATTTGACCTCTCTGTGTGAGGATTTGGGATTATTCCTAGCTTGGCAGTTTGTGTCCCAAGGATGCCCCTGTGTGAAGCGTGGGAAGCACAGTGTTAATCCAGTGTGTTCCTCGATGTCTCCTGTGTTCCTGACAGAGGCTAAATGTTTGTGGGAAGGAAGTAAATTATTGTGAACTGAGTGATCTTGGAATAGTTTGCCCACAGGGAAAATTTTTTCCTTACCCTCACTTAGGATCTGGCTTGCGCCTTTGTGTGCGAGGGTTTCTGTCCTTTCCAGAATTCTGGATTTTATTATTATTTAATCCTTACTAATGTAACTCTGGGTACTTTAATCCTCTTGAGGGTTTGCTGCTGACTTTGGGCTCAGTCCTGCTCCCTTTTCAAAGAATTTTGCCATTAGACACCTTTAAGTAGAGTTCTGATGTAAATTGAAGCTGATTTTATTGGCAACTCTGTCCCTGGCTGTAAAATGCTGCTGCAAAGCTGTAACCTGTGTGCAAGGCACAGTTCCAGTGGGGAGGAGAGGGAGGTCTGTGCTCCTGTCTGAAGCCCTGACTCTGCCACTCCTCACTGCCAGTCTGGAAGGAATCCCCAAAAGATGCCAAGGGCTCAGGTCAAAGGAATTGGCTGTGAGCCTGCGGGGGGGATGTCCTGCCAGCCTAGGAAGCCATAAATGTGTTCCTTTCCATCTAGGTGCCCCTCTGGCTGCGGAAAGGGAGAAGAAGCCTCTCTCCAGAGCTGTCTTTGTGCTGCCCTGGGTGGAATCCACAGAAACAAGTGAGGGTCCCAGATGTTTTGTTTTTTCCCTGATGTATTTTAAGGAAGCAGTAGCTGCACTCTGGGTCTTCTGGGGAGGCTGCTCAGGTAGAGTGTGCCCTGGACACAGCTTGGAAAGGTGTTTCCCAGTGGGAAGCATGCAGCATGTTCCTCAGAAAATGCCATCCTTTCCTGTTTCTTTGCATCAGGTGGATTAGTCATGGGGACAGGCTTTTCCTGAAGAGTGCTGGTGTTGCTCATGGCTCCTTTCAGTGAGGCAGATATCCCAGGAAAGGTGATGCTTTTTCCAGGTACTGCCTCAAAGCCATTCTCCAACTCCAGCCCTCTGGGTTTGTCACCAGCAGGACTTGAGCATCTGCCAGCATATTTTCAGGAAACAAGGAATGTGAAACTGAGAATCAGAGCATGTCATCGACTGATGATCCACTGGCCAAAGCTGAAGGGATGATGCTGATCCTTTGTGGTCACTTAAGCCCCACTCCGAAAGCGTTTTTGGGGACAGAAACATCACAGCCTTAAAGAGAGAGGTGATATAAATGTACTGCAGCTGTAAGAAATCCAGCCCCTCCCCTTTAAGAGCTGCTCCTGGACTTTATGTTTGGGAAACCTTGTTTGCCAAGGTGAATGAGGAACGTGGAATTGTCATTGAATGTATGATTTAGAATAGAATTCCTTATGTTGGGTGCTTCCTTTGCCATTCCCAAACGTGCTGGTGCGAAGGAGCCACCCTGATCATGGAGCAGGACAAGCAGTGCTGTCCAGACTGCCCTCTTCTAATTTTTCTGCTTTTATCCTGACTGGGATCTGCAGCACTTCTGGATGTTAGGAAGAATTCAACAGGGTGTTGTGATCTGTTTAGATTCAGCAGTTTTGCCCTTCCACATGTGGAGGCTGTCCCTGCAAGACATCTGTTCCTGCAGTGCTCTGCAAGAGTAGGATCAATGGGATTTTAGGGTATCTGCAGAGTGCCAGTTGCTGAGAGAGCTCCTCTATCAAGAACCTTTTGTGGTTTATGCTGTTTGAAAGCTCAGTGTGAATTCTGGGCCAGGTGAAAATTGTTCTTCACCCTGGATAAGCAGCTCTCCTGCAGCTGCTGTGGGGAGAGCCCAGCGTTTGGGACCCTTCATGGGCTGTGCTGGCAGCACTGCAGGGGTGTCAGCTGGATGGGACTGTTTCCAGTCTGGGTTTCTGGGATGCTGTGCAGAGCTTTTGGAGCCCAATAGGAACCAGTTTGTACCCAGCTTTTGTGGTATTCCTGCACTTAGGAGGGTGGGTTAGGTGATCTGCATTTCTAGCTGTATTTTTAGTAATACAGAGCTCCTGACCTTTCAACACATTTCTGATTGCTCTTATTCCCTTCCTAGGTTTCTAAAGCAAAATCTACTGAGGCCAAGTGTCCTAAGGAAAGAAGTGTCTTGTTCTGGCTGCCACTGCTGGACATGTGTTCTCTGCCCTCTCTTTCCAAAATGGCATATGTGCTTCCTTCTCTGGGGAATATGTGAATCAAACCAACAAAAATTCTCCAAATCTTGAACACAGGGTCTGGGAAGAGAGCTGAGCTCAGCCCTGGGGCAGGGGGTTCAGCCAGTCCTAGTGAGTGCTGGAGACACCACTGGAGCCAGCTGGCAGCAGATCCTGGAGATGAGAGAGAAGAGCAGCTCATTCTCTCTCTTTTATTTTATTTTTATTACAAGCAGAGGGGTCAAAACTTTCTTCAGGCCCCGTGGAGTTATTTCTTGGGGTACCTGAAAAACCTGCCCATTTGCCATCTGAGTGTGCCAGTCCTTTATAGCTGAGGAGCTGCCTTGTAATGAGGCTGTGCCTTGCCTTTTCTACTACTAGCAAGATGAGGTGCTGTATTTTGGTCTATGTATTAAAGATGAATTGTGAGCTGACTAAATAAGTACAGCTGGTACTCACCAGACCTCTCTCTGGAATCCCTGCTCGTGTTGGAAAGGCTCCTGAGCATGAAGGAGAAGGATACTTGCTGGAGTCTGGGGTTTAACCAGATGTCTTTGGAGCAGTTTGAAGGTCTGTTTACAGCAGGATCATTGCTCAGCTGGCAGCAAGGATGTGAATACCAGCAGGGGCCAGCACTGAACCCATGTGCTGGGGGCTCAGCATTGTCCTCCCCTGCCCTAACAGTGCCTGCTGGTGTGGTTGTGCTTTGGGTGGAGCCCCTGATGGCAGCAGAGAGTTTGAATCTGAGCAGACTTGCCTAGGTCGTGTTAGTTCGGCTCTGTCTGGATCCACCTCTCTAGAGGTTTGAGGATGGTTTCAGTGTGGGCTGGCAGCCACACCTGAGCACCTGGAGTCCCTTGCAGCTCCTCCCATGGCAAGCTGTGTTACAGGTACTGGATATTGTGCCCCAGCTGGATACCTTGGGGTAGGAGTTATAACTCACAGCAGGTAAAGTGCCCTGGAACAGGTTCCCTGTGGGCATAGCCTGACAGAACTCAAGAAGCGTTTGGACAATGCTCTTGAGATTGTTGGGGTGTCTGATCCTTGTGGGTCTCTTCCAGCCCAGGAGATTCTGTGGTTCTAAGAGGTACTGCAGGGCTAGTTCTTCCCAGGGAGTTTCTTGCTAAGAAATCAGTGTCTGCTAGGGTCAGCACTGGGCATGTTCCAAGGCTGTCAGCAGAGATGGCTTTGTTGGGTAAGGAGGAGATCTGGCTCTCTGGGAGCAGCCTGAACAGGGACTCTTGTTCAGAGAGGTAAAGCTTGGCTGCACAGGGGCAGCTCTCAGTACTTTGTGAATTCTCTATAAAGCTCCTGTCACTGAGCCTAGGCACTCTTTGCTGGGTGTTCTCTCCTACAGAACCCAGGAGATCAGTGCCAAGCTAGACCAGCTGGAAGAAATGCTTCTCTGTAAACCCTGGAGATCTTTCTGCCTGTAGGGACAGTCCCCTAACAACACCAGCAAAACCCTGTTCTCCAGGGCAGTGCTGTTACCGTGTTCCATGTTCCCCTGCACTGCCCAGGAAGAGGTGCTCACACCCAGCAAGGGCTCTGCTGGGGACAGTAACATCACCCCTGTGTGACAGGGACCACAGGTAGCTGTGCCTGGCCCTGTGAAATGGTGTGTTAGTTAATTTTCTTCTGTTCTAACAAGTCTTCTTATTTACTGAGTTCTTTTCTTCCTAACTAAGGCCATAAGTTTTTGTTCTCTGAATATGAAAGTGCCTGGTCTTTGGGACTCCTTTGAAGAGTTAATCTTCTGTTGGTCCTGTAGAGCTCACTGCACTGCAGAAAGGAAATGATTCCTTGGTCTGGGGACACCCATCGAGGTGGGACTAACTGCTGATGCCAAGTTAGGAGTATCTCTGCTACTTGACTTGCTAATTGACGGTGCTAATTGTCTGGGGGGTTTTAGCAACAGCTGCAGATACTCAGCAGCAATCATTAGATCCTCTTCCTTGTGGGACAGGGCCCAGGGTAGGGGGGGGCCCTCAGCACTGTTGTGTCACCACAGAAGGAGCACTAAATCACGTAATGGAGCAAGCACAGTTAAACGTGACTTGCCAGTGCTTCTGCCAGTGGAATGTTCTCACAGGTGTGGTCTGTTGTTCCTCCTCCTATCCCTGAGCCATGCATTGTCTTTGCAGCGAGTCCCTTTCTCCTTGCTTGTCCAGCCTAGACTTCTAAAACCCCCTTGATTTTAGTTTAGCACTGCTGTGCTCTGATTAAGATACATATATATTTTAGTCACAGAGGTAAAGTTCTTATGCCCAGCTATTTAAGCCCAGCTATTTAACACGGTTTAGATTTGGCATTTTTCTCTGCTAGATCATCATAGCTTCTGCAGTCACTCTGAATAAAGGGTGACAGTGATCCTTTATTTAGTGCTGACCCCCATGTGCTGCTGGACTGAGTGCTGAACCCAACTGAGTGATTACACTGTACCAGTATATCCTAGCTTAAAATATGGAGTAATTTTAAAAGTAAAGTGATGGAGAAGTAAAATAAAAGCTTATTGAATGTGCATAGTCTGGTGTGTTTGAACACAGCATGGAAGAGGTAAACACAAGGCTTTAGCTTTGCTGATAGTAGGGATACATGGATACAACTACACTGTTGCAGGGGAGCTTGCTGAATGGCAGGTCCTCTGCAGCTCTGGGAGCTGCTGCCTGCACTCCTTGCTCCTGCTGGGAAGGAAACACACTGGTTTGGCGATCCTTTGTGGCTGTACAAACCGATGTGTTTCACTCTATTTGCTGTGGACTTTATTATGTTTGCCACTTTGCTGTGGGCTCATAGCACCAGTCATCAGCCTGGGGTTGTGTGACAGCTGGGGTGACTGCTCAGGGAGGGCAGTCTGTACCCCAGGGTGTGACAGGCAGCGCAGGGGGGAAACACCCCACCAAACTGGCCAGGGAAATCCTGCTCTTGCACTGATGTGATAGCCGAGCTAAAGCCACTGCTCCCCATTCAGAACAAACCAGATTCATAAACACTTGGAGGTGTTTTGCATCTCTCTGCCCCACACAGCTGTGGTGAAGGGTTGGTTGATGCTGGAATGAAGTGATGAGATGTAGGGAACAAATGGATGTGAAACCAAGCTTCATCAGTCCTCCCTTCACTGAGCACCTTACTGTCCTGTGTGCCTTGGGTTGTTGGGTGTCCTGGGCTTGTTGCTTCTGACAGGATCGTGGGTGCACTTAGGAATCAGTAAACAGCAGCAGTGAGAAGCAGGGGTGTGCTCATATCCAGTCCACATTAGAGGTGGTGTCTTAAGGCTTTAGTTTTAATCAGCTCATGCATTCACTCTGTGTTTAGTTCTGCCCCTTTGTCCCCATCCTGACCAACAGCTGCTTGTCCCTGAACTTCCAAAGGAGATGCTAGCAGGGCCTGCTGCCCTGCAGCCTTGTTGCTGTGAGGTCTGTGGGGTCTGCTCTGTCTGAAGAGGAAATAAATCAGAATATGCCCCAAGCCATATAGTGTGGGGCAGGGGGGACAGTGTGAGGCATTTGTTGCCTGTATGCCTTAGAGACAGAGCATGTGGGATGTGTCAGTGCATGGGGGTGTCTGATTGAGCAGTGTGGTTGCAGAGCTTGCCTTTCTCCTCAGGATTTCTAACTGGTCTGTTTTCTTCTTCCTACAGACAATTTTAGGTACACGTGTGACATTTGTGGGAAAAAATATAAATACTATAGCTGCTTCCAAGAGCACAGAGACCTACATGCCGTGGATGGTGAGTAATGTTTTGAGTGATGTTTTGACACTCAGACACCTGAACTAGGCTGAGAAGTCTTTGGGGAAGCCAAATGTGGCAGTGCAGGAGTGTGTGGCCTGTGGTGTGGAGGACTTGGCACTGCATGGTCACCTATCTTTGCCATGGAGGCACAGTCTGCAGGCACTGCAGGAAGGAGTTTGCTGTGCCTGATTCTCTCTGTGTGCATCAGCACAAGACCATGCTGGGACCTGGGGACCTTGCAGTGTGTCTGCAGTGAGGTTCATGGTTAGGATGGAGATCCTGGGACTGAGTGCCTCAAGATAAATGGTCAGCCTGATTATTTGCTGGGAAGAAGTTGGTTGTTCTTTGGTTTCTGAATTTACAGGTTTGTTCCCAGCATACTTGTCTGTGAAGTATTTCAGATTTCAGAGTTGGGAAATGTTTTATTCTTGTTAATCATTGTGGTAGTGAACTGATGAAGTTGTCAGTGGTCCTTAAAGGCCAGTTTTTCCTCTGTGACTGTAGATGTGGCCTAGGCTGGTGCCACCTGGACACAAACAGGTACCCACTGCCAGAAGCAGTGTTTCTTTATTCTGCATTGGGGTAAATGAATATCAATATACTGGCTTGCCCCCTGCTTACTGAACATCTAAAGCTCCACACCTTGGAGCCCACAGATACTCCAGACCTTCCCTGTGTGTGCTGCAAGCCTGTCAGTACTGCTCCTCACTTGGCCAAGGAGAGTTCTAGAAAGAGGCTGCTTGAAGAGCAGCAGGTTTTGAATGTCTGGGGTTGTGTCAGAAAAGCAAGTGTTTTTTCACAGTACATGGTTGTCCAAAAAAATGGTTGTGTTTACCTGGAATGTGTGGACGTCTGAATGTGCTCTAAGGGCTGCCAGTGTTCTCCTGCAGGGCACCACTGCCAGCTCCCTTCCTCCTGTGTGGAGCCGGAAGAAAACTGGTGGCACTGACAGTCACTGTGAGGGGAATGTGGCTGCTCCAGTCAGAAATGTCTCAGGGAGCTCTGCCGAGGGCCACGAGAGGGCTTGGAAATGGCTCCAATAACTGTCCCAGCCCCTGCCTGGGGCTGCTGTGTTCCACCACACACAGGGGTGAGGCAGTTGTGCACCTGAACTTCACCTGGGGTCGTGTCAGGGTCAGAACAAAGGCCTTGAGCATCTGTGTGTATTAGGGCTGGGCATGCTCAACCAGGTCCTGTGAGGATGCTGCTGGGAAGAGGAGGGACTGGGGCACAAAGCCTGGTTTATTCAGCGGGGCTGAAATGTGCTGCAGCAGTATGTGAAATGCAGGAGGAAAACAAGACCATTTAAGAGGATTTAATTTCTGTTTTGTTTCTTCCCCTCCTTCTTCTATTCTGTGTTAGTTTTTAGTGTGGAAGGGGCCCCAGAAAACCGGGCAGGTAAGCTGAGCTCCTTTGTGTGCTTTATTTCACAAACCTTTTCAAGCATTCAGTTGTTCAGACACAGCAGGTCGATTCTGAGCTTGTAAGAGTCAAAGGAGTTTTGTCAGGGGTTGCAGTGGGACAGGAGCATCCTCTCCCTCCCCAGTGTCCACAGCCAGTAGGTTGATGCCCAGCCCTAGCAGATACCAGGCTTTTGTTGCACATACATTTGGTCAGGCTTCAGACAATCAAAGAAGCAGGTATTTCATATCTTTGGTGATCTTGTAAATTGTTCAAGGCATAAACCAAATTCTTCTTTAAAGTGGGTTGGGTTGTGATTTGTTGCTAGCTGTGCTGTTAGCTGGTAGAAGTCCCAGGTTGGTATTTGTTAGGTGATGTGCCTGCAGACTGCATTGCCATGCCCACTGTCAGCCAGTATAGCAGCATTAGAGGGAGGTTCCCTGGAAGAAAATATGGATCAGACTTGGCAGTGTGTTCATTTAGTTTTTCTCTGTATTTTTTAAACATTAATTCCTACAAGGCCTGTTAATGGGCTGGGACCAGGGGTAGTCCTGGGTTATCTGAGGAGGAGGAAGGACAAGTCAGGCAGAGGGGTCACTGGTTTATAATTCTTGTCTTCCAGTCCTGTTACAGATGGAAATGTGATTACAGGTGCAGGAGCATTCAGTGCCCATGCAGCTGTAGCAGGCAAAGCTGAGGTGTTGTCAGCTGTCCTCTGGTTCTGTTCTCTTGCAGACCCCTACGACCAGGCCGTCATCGCCGCCGACGACGTGAAGGAGGAGGAGCCCGAGCCCTTCCAGAAGATTGGGCCGAGTAAGAGTCGTTATTGTGTCAAATAAAAAGGAAAGCTCAGGGGTTCACACCTGCCTTTGGTGCAGTGCCTCTAGAAAAAGCAGGAAGCACTGCATTACACAGAGGAGTTGGGATTTGGGTGCTCACAGATACGTTCACTCTCAAAGGAGCATCAAACACCAACAGCTCTGGCCTTAAGAGCTGCAGCCTTGTGATGTGTTCTGCTCAAGAGCTCTGCAAAGAGGAAGGGAAGGGAGTTCAGGGGAAAAGCAATCTGGCAGGGATGAGAGAGGGCTTGAAGGTGCACTGAGAGCTGGCAGGTGATTCATTCACACTGCCTTTGTGGTGGGTGCTCAAACAGAGCAGAGGGAAACAGAGAACACCAGGTTTTGCCAAAGCATTACTCTGAATTTTCCATTTTGGAAACAATCGATTATCCATGGATTTTCCTTCATGTTGCAGCTTGCTGCCAGTTCTGTACTCCCAGCACTGGCAAGAAGAGGAGGTGTCAGTGTGTGATTACAATCCATTATTTCCAGTTTCCCCAAAGCAGGAATGAGCACAGTTACTCTAGAAAAGCCTCTCCTCCTGCAAGAGAACTCCACAATTCCAAATAAAAGTTCTCTAATACTTGAACTTGACTGTTCATTTCTTGGTTTGACTGTTCTGTTGTCTACACATCCCAGACTCTGTAACCAGAGGATAGAACTGTGTCATCTATAATTGCAGACTTTAGAAGTGGATTCTCTCCCTTGTTTTGCACACTTACTTGCTGTAATTTTGGGGTAATCTTTGGCAGCTTGCTCAGTTCTACTGGGCTTTTTAAGCGTGGTCCATCTCTCTGTTTTGAATGTTTCCTTTCTTGGGAAAAGGACTTGTGGATTACAGAGCAGGCAAGTTCCACTTGCATGCGGAATGTTTGTGTCTCTTGACGAGTTTCTCTGTAAAAAGAAGCTGGAGGCTGTGTGAGAGAGCTGCTCTCCTTCCTGACCTTTGTCCCTGTTTATTTCACAGAAACTGGCAATTACACCTGTGAGTTCTGTGGCAAGCAGTACAAGTACTACACTCCCTACCAAGAGCACGTGGCTCTGCACGCCCCCATCAGTGAGTATCTGCTGCAGGGCTGGCACCTCCAGGGCTGCCAGGAAAGACTTCACTCTTGGGGATCCCTCCACTGGAGCTGTGGGATTGCAGCGGGCAGGACATGGATCATGTGCTGACCAGGGCACTGTAAAGCTGAGCTGGGATCCCCTCTCACAGGGCCTCTGTTAGGTCTGGAATCTCTCTGAGCTCCTACCCCAGTCCATGGAATTCTACACATGTTCCTTGTAGGGTTGATGGTTTAGGCTCTTGTTTAACTGAAGTGATGCACAACATTTTTATACTCCCCTAAATAAATAACTGACCATACATGTTAGGGAAGAAGCATCTTTCTTATGAGCTTCTCGGGAATTATTTCAAGCAGTGAGTTTTCACTGATTTCAAAATCATGCAAATGACCTCAGCAGCTTGCTATAAAATCACACTTAATAAATGATTTATTTTAGGGAGCTCAGGACAAGGCAGTTGTCAGCAAACTGCACAGCACTGTGCTCTGCACTCCCCACACAGAGGGAAGGCTTTGATGAGCCAGTGTAATTCAGTGCAAAATTTGACTAAACATGTTGAGAGGAATTTTCGCTACCTGCTGGATTTGAATACTTTAAAAGTCTGCAGAGAAGTTCTTTACAGCTGAACTTGCTGCTCCCTTCCCAGCACTGCCCTGAGCTTTGCTGGGTGTCCGGGCTGTCCTGTCCTGCTCCAGGGTTTGGGGTGATGGACAGGAGGAATGAGCCGAGCTCATCGGGCTGCAGCCGGCAGGGGGCGCTTCCACCCCAAAATCACCTGGAATCGGGTTTTTAATGATTTGGGGTTATAATGAGGCACCCTGGGCTTGATGAGAATTTGGTCCACCAGACTCACTTTCAAGGTTTGGTGGCTCTTGGCAGGTGCCATGCAGGTTCTCTGAAGCTTGGATATGGACCATGGTAGAAGGTGCAGGACATAAAATAGATGTCCAACATTATCATCACAAAGTTAATCTTGTTATCTGCCATCTGCTGAAGGACATGGCCCAGTGCTTATAACTGCACATATTACAGTTATTCCTGTGGCTCCCTGCCACTGCAAGCTCCACCTCTTCACTGAGGTGTTTTCAGCCCCCAGCAAAGCCGTTGGTGAGCAGCAGTGGGTCCATTTCCTGCCATACAGGAGCTGTTGGACAGCAGGGCTCTGGGTCTCTGCTGCCCCTGCACAGAGCTCAGGAGCAGTGTGCTGTGAGCACTGGGGCTTTGCTCACCTCTAGCTTATTCTTACCTTCCCAGTGCTTCCCATTTCCAGGGGATTTATTGCCACTGATGTCTTTCCACTTCCCAACCAGTTGTAATAATAGCTGAGCTGCTGGTTCCAGTCCAGGGTCTCAAGCAGAAAAGAAACTCCCACTGTGTTTCTCTGGAAGGAGTGTGCCTGCAGTGGGCCCTACAGTTCCAGTGCCCCTCCCAGGCCCTGCCCCTCTCCTGGCAGGGGCAGATTAGGCACCTGCCTGATGCTGTGTGGTTCCTGGGAGCCAGTTCTGGAGGAGGAGGAGACATGTTCTGAGTGCTGGGCTTGAAGCCGTTCTTGCACCGTGGTTTCTACAGCAAAAAAAAGGAAGCTGCCCCTGCTGCAGGCAGCAGGCCCTGAGCTGTGCAAATGGGTTTCCAGTCCTTTCAAGTATCTTTAACTTTAACTTTATGAGGACACTCAAGATCAGATCAAGGTAGTATTTTCATAAGGTTCCCTCCCCATAAACTTTTCTTTTTCCTTTTTTTTTTTAACCTTTTTTTACCTCTCCTAGTTCCTATGACCAATAAGATTTATGATTTACAAGCCACTAACCTGATGAGTATACAGGAGAGGACATGATGAGCTCCCGAGGCAGGCTGGCCAGTACATCCTCACACCTTTCTACTGCTCAGACTGTTCTTCCCAAAACCCAAGGCCCTGTGAGGCAGCTGTTAACACCTGACTTTAGAAGAGCACAGCTGGCTTTTCTTGGGTCCTTGCAGTCAGAAGAAGTAAAGCTGAGACTGTAAATGTGTCTTTACCCTGGTCTCATTCTTCTGTTATAAGGCAAATGCTGAAAATCCAGTCATAATGGGAACGGGTGAGGAAAGCCCTTCAGCATCACCAGTTCAGCTTTCTGTGTCTCTGCTTGAGTGCAAGCTTCCCTTCCAGAGCCTGTGTTTCTGGTTTGCTGACATAACGAATGAAAAGCCGTTGAAAATGGGTAAAACAAGGAATGAGATCCTGCAGCTTCAATGGTATCTTGCAGGATAATTTCTGGTCAGTGCTGCTGGACAGCTACTGTCTGGAAAAGAGCTCTGCTGTGGTCTTCCCTGGAATTGTTAATGCCAAATGTCTCCTTCCAAAGATCCCTTTTCTGAGTGAGGAGTAGGGACATTTTCATAGATTAAAACTGGGCTATGACTCTTTAAAAATAATATTCTTATGCTGTTTCTATCAACATATTCATTCTTTCGAAGAAGGCTGTCAGAGGCCATTTCCAAAAAATAAAAGTGAATTGTAGGCACATTCATTTTCCCAGTTTTAGAGACATTTCTGAATGGAGATTCGTGGGGGAGGGTTCAAAGATGTTTCTGTCCTCCTTCAGGCTCTGGCTGCTCTCTAAGGTAGAGCTGATTGCACCACATTTGCTAGGGCTGGGCTGTAGAGATTGCTTAGAAGGATGGAGAGAAACTGTTCAGGGAATGAAGTGACAGAACAGGGGAATGGCTTCACACTGTTAGAGGATGGGGTTAGATAGGATTTTGGGAAGAAATTCCAAGGATCCAGTTAGGAATTGGGTGGGCAGGCCCTGGCACAGGGTGCCCAGAGCAGCTGTGGCTGCCCCTGGATCCCTGGCAGTGCCCAAGGCCAGGTTGGACATTGGGGCTTGGAACAGCCTGGGACAATGGGAGGTGTCCCTGCCCACGGCAGGCGGGCTGACAAGATGATCTTGTCAAGCCAAAGCAATCCGGGATTCTGTGACTCTGTGATGAGTTTGCAGTGCAGAGAAAACCTGGGGCACCTGGAATGTGAACTGGCTCTAAATGCACCAGGAGTGGAATTGAGCTGGGTGAGTCAGGCTCAGGAGTGTGCATGCACCTCTGCCTGGTACCTGCAGCTACAGCCTCAGACTCTGGGGCATGGAAGGATGGGGAGAGAGCAGTAAAACCAGTACAGCTCTCATGGCTCTGCTTCCAGGATGGAAATGTAAAGTGATGTCAGGGCTCTGGGAGTACTCAGAGCTCTGAAAGGCCCTGAGCAGTTGTGCCCACAGCCACACTCGTGCTCCAGCCCAGCTCTGAGCCACACACCCTACCTGATGTTGCCTGTTCTCTGTAGGATGTTGGTCTCAGCTCAGTTGTGGACGTGCCCATACCTGGCTGTGGGTCCCATGGGTCTGTACCTAGCCCACAGCTGCATTCCCACCTTGATGTCAGCCCTGTCTGGGCACCCTGGAGCTCACTGAGGATCACTGGTCCTGGTTAACCTCACCAGAGCTGATCGTGCTGCTGACCTGTGGATTGACTTGCCAACCTGGCCACACACCTGTCTCATTGCCATGAACTTCCTGATGACCTGGACTCATGATTGAAGCTGGCTGTCACCTCTGGGCCTTGCTCACTTCTCTCAGGGTCTGTGGGATGGGCCCTGCCATCCCTGGGATCATTCTTGGCTCTCCAGGGGACAGACAGACTTACACCAACCCTGACACCTGAGATGCTCAAGGAAGTTCATCAAGGCTTGCTGCTCAATTCCTTTCCATGTTGGATGTACACTGGATACAGTTTGTTCATACAGAGTGCTTAAATGCAGTGTTTCATTAAGGCAGCTGCCATTTTGGTAGTACAGGTGATTTCCACACAGACCCTGCCTAACCAGGAAAAAACAGCTCCAGATTCCAGTTGGATGGTGTATCTTTGCTTTCTGCAGTTCAGTGAGGGAAATCTGTGAGTTCAGGTGCTTTTCCCAGTCTGATCCCACAGTGTTTTAGCAACAGCCTCCCCCTGTTTGTGTGTATAAAGACATACATTAAAAATTTGGTAAGTTTGAGCAGAGGGGTTTTCCTGTGGAAAGACGTGTTTGCCATAGCCAAGGTGTCTGCTCAGAGTATGGAATTTCAGGCCATTGTTAAGGAATCATTTTCCAACACATTCAGTGAAGACAGTTTTTTCTCCATAGGTGATGGTGTAATTCCATCTGAACCATCGAAATGGTTCCCTGCTCGTCCTGACATCTTTGTCAATAAATACCATACACAAATTATTACCCAGAATTTTTACCTTGAAAAAGTGACGTTGCTGAGACAGTCTGGTCCCTATTGTGGTGGTGCATCATGGTAGTGTGTAAATTTGTGTGCCAAATTCTCTCCTTGCTGCCACAGCTTGCCAGACACAGGACTTTAAGGTCTTCCCAAAACCAGGAAAGCCAGGAGGGATCACTGTGATCTCTGGACTGCCTGGAGAAACACATTCTGTAGGTTTGCCTTGATTGAATTGCAGACAGATATGCTTTAGAGAGACATCCGATCTTGCTTTTGAGTGACAGAAAATGCAGCAATCTCGTACAGTAATTATTTTAATAAATTACTGCCTCCACTAAATTCAGACTAAAATTAGCCAGCTGCAGCTTTGAGCATTGAGTCCTATTTTTAACCTTGTCTGCTCAGTGGAGGAGGACTAAGCTAGCAAGTTTCTGTCCTTTGTAGAGCTGGCCAAGCCTGCTCTCCAGGCCCTGGTTAAATCACAGGAGTGACTTGTAAGCTCTGCTGTTCTTGGCCCTTGGTTATCCTCTTGTCTCCTCCTCTGAGTGTTCTCCAGTCTTTTTTCCATCCTCAGGCAGGGCAGGCACCAGCACTGAGTCAGGAAGGATCTGAGAGCTGGCCCTGCCTTCCTGATCCGCTTGGAAACTCCTGATTGCTCCCCAAGGAGCACCTCAGGCTCTTCAGCCACAGCGTCATCCTGGGAGCTGCTCTGCTGACCAAGCACAGCAGTGACTGACCTTTCCTGCTGCCAGGCTGGAGCCTCCACTGTTGTCAGCGTCTCCTGCATCAAGTGTGTCCTTCAGCACACCCTGGGCCATCCTGCAGGGCTGCAGCACAAAGCCCTGAGCTGGCTGACTGCAGACCATGCAGTGAGAATCACCCTCCGCATCACTGCAGCTTCCACTGGGATGGTCTCTGCTGCCTTCTGAGAGGGCTTGAAAAGCTCCACAAGTTATGCAGCAGGTAGGAGGTCAGCTGCCCACAGTGCTGTTTCCAGACTTGATGCAGATCTTGAGGCAGGAGGTTTTTGTGGCCATTCAGCAACTCAGGATTTTCATTTTTAGAACCATCTTGACCTTTCCATCAGCCTGAGGCCGTGAGTTCCGCAGTGAAGGTGACTTTTCCAGAGTAGAGCAGGGGAGCTATGTGATGCTCTCCACCTGTGTTGCTCAGCCTTCAGAGGGAATTTGGCACCTGATGAACTACAGACTGAACATTTTTTTCCCAGTGAACTGTTAGCTTCCTCCAGACTGCTGGAACTGATATTCCTTTGTTTGTCTTGCAATGCTGCATAAAATTCTCTCTCCCTGCCTGGTGTTAGATGGAGCAGCCTTCTCTGTGGAGTCTCAGTTTGAAGACATATTGTTTGTTTCATTTGGGAGGAAGAAGAAGAAATTTCTTTTGGAGGTCAAGAAATTGGAGGTCATCATAGCATTGAGACTTTTGCCTTCAGGTCCCAGAGCAGTATCTGGGCTGCAGAGGATGTGCAGTGATGCTCTCTGTGTCTGGCACTGAAGAGTTGCTGATGGCTGTTTCTCATGGCACTGATGGGGAATAAAGCCCCTGGAGAATGGTCCTCATGGGAAGCAGATGATCCTCAAGCTGGAAATTTTCATATCTGACTATATTTTTGCTGGCAGTTTAGTAGCAGCTGGAGGAGGATAATCCATGGAGATTGAAAGGAAGTATAGAGAGCAAAACAAGCCTCTTGCCTTTTTCTCTGGCTGGAGACCAAGCAGAGAAGTATCCTGACTAAACTGTGAGAAAACCAGTGCATAATCTGCAGAACTACACTGACGCGTGAGGAAATGTCATCTTGGGACTGTGTGTCAGAGCAAGTGAATCCAAACCCCTGGAATCGCAACCCCTTGTGAATGTACACACACCCAGTCCCAGTGCTGCTGATGAAGGTGAGAGCCAGTCACAGTGAAGGTCTGAAAACTCTCCTGGGATTTTGGAAATGAGTGTTCTGTCCCAGCCTGGGGCACTTCTCTCCTCCCCTGTTTCAGAGGCAGGCTGTGGTGCTGCCGTGCTGTTCCCCTGAGAGCTGCTGGATGTGGATGAGGATTTCTCACTCACACTGTGTAGAACGCGCAGATGCTGCTGTTGTCCCTCCACCTTTAGGCATCCCACAGCATCACTGTAGAAATCACTGGTAGGGAGCTGGGACTGTGGGTTAGTTGAACCTTCTTTGTTAGTGATTTTTCAGGAGTGGTTGGAGTTGGACTGGGGCTTCAGGACCCATACCCAGATTTCCATAGAAGAGGCCCCTTAGGAATGAAGGGGGTTATTAGACAGTTCCTCCACTTTTGTAATGGTTTATTTAATCCATGTGGCCTAGACGAAGGGCTGTCCTCCTGAAAGTGTTTTAGATGACTTTTGGCATTGAAAATTCCTGGTGATCCTCACTGTGTACTGCAGAGACCAAAATATAGATGCATTCAAAGAGCATGTCCCAGTAATATGTAAAATTTCTCCACGTGTCACCAGTCTGGAGATGGCACCAAAAGCCTTTGTTCACTCTGCCTCCTAATTCCACTCCATTCCATTCCCAACTGTGTCTTTTCCTTTGTATTTGTTCAAAGAGATAAGGAATGTAGCTGGAGATGACTAGGATTTATTCAAGGCTCAAGAAACAAAGTTGTAAACTTCTCCCTACTCAGAGCTCTGAGCAGTTTAGAAATCTGCTCCCAAAATTCAGTCCCAAAATAGAAAAGGAGGCCAGAGCTGTAGGTGCCTCCAGCCAGGCTGTGGCAATCACACAGTGCTGCTGGATGGATGTGGTGATTCCTGCTGGAGGAGGAATGGGTTGGCCGTGTGGCAGGTGGAGGTGTGGAAGGGAGCTCACAAGGGAGCTAACTTCACCAGTGTGCCCTCGGGTAAGGGGGGAGCCCAGCTCTGTCCCGGGGCTCTGGGTGGATCAGCAGCTTCAGCAGGCCCAGCCCTGCGAGCTCCCTGGCTGTGCAGGCACTAGTTCTGAGTCTTCATATCCAGAGTTCTCTCGATCTCCACTCTTCGTGGCAGTGAAGACACAGACGAGCCAGTCCAGCAAAAAATCTCCGGCGTCCATAAACCGCTGTTCTGGCCTCCTGCACCGCAGCCCCTCCGGGGTCCCGCCCGCATCCCAGTCCCAGATGTTCCGCGCTCCAAATTCCGGATCCGCAGGAAGCAAGGCCATCACAGGTACCCATTGCCTTTCAGCTTTCTCAACTGCTTGGTGTCCAGACCCTTCCTCAGTCTGCTCCATCCATGCCTGTCCCATCAAAGCTGCTCCCAGAAGCAGTTGAGGGGATTAGATCCTTTATAATCTCTTTCTTTTTTGTTGAACATCATCATCATGGTAACCACAAGGTAGAAAAGGCCCTATTTCAAATCCTGGTGTCACAAACTGAAAAGAGCTTCCTGACAAGGATTGGTGTAATGGCTTGTCAGGAATGGGGATTTGTGCTTGGTTTTCAGCACTGTTTGGCATTCAGTGTTTGTTTCCCTCAAGGTGATGTTTTCAGGGCAAGGTCTGTGCCTTTAGAAGTGAAATGGAGTACAATTGTTTTCACAGTGCTCCATTCCTCACAGGAGCCTCCAAGAGATAAACAGAAAAATCAGTATTACAGAACCATTACTGAGGACTTAGAAAATGCAAGTTAGGATTGATCTTCCCATTGTCTCATTTTCCTCCTTCCAACAAGATCAAGCCTAAACGAAAATTTAAAGAAAGAAAGCAAAGACTACTGAAAAATAATAAATAGGGTGTGAAGCATAGTGTGCCATGTGCAGTCCACTGAGAAACGCTCTCTTAAGTGGGATTGATGGATAAAGATTCCATCTGGGTGCAGAAGAAGGGCTGATCAATTGGTGTTTAAATACCCCTAGAATGACTGGCATGGACAGATGCTGAGTATGAGAGGTGGCTGTGGTGGGAGAGGCCATGGATGCTGAACAAGGATGGGTTTTGTTGGATTACACATATCCACAGCTCCCAAGGGCTTGATCCATACAGATAATTTTACTTCACATTCAAAAGGTTCCAATAGGAGGAGAGAGAACAGAGTGAGCTGCTCTCTCAGTGTGGGAAGGGCACAGTAAGACCAAACAGGTCTATTAAACCAAATTTTTCTTGCTGCCAGACTTGGGGGAGGTTTTAGGAGGGAAGCTAAGGGATGAAGGCAAAACTACCATGCAAAATTTTTACAAAGGTCTTTGGAGACCTCCATTTCACTTCCATTTGTGACATAAGCCAGGACTTGAACCTGGGTGTCTTGGGAGGGATGGGTCGATCTAAACCATTTTGTCACCATCTGATTTCCCTATTATTTAAAGCCTCTTGTTTCTATTATTTATCTGTCAAGTGGCATAGATAGATAGATAGATAGATAGATAGATAGATAGATAGATAGATAGATAGATAGATAATGTCTCCAGTTCAGCCCTGTTTGATGTGTTTCTGTTTCAGTTGATTTGGTTACCACGTTTGCTTGTTCTCCTGAATTTTAGGAGTCAGGAGTGTAGTTGATGGAGAGTTTGAGAAGCCTGCTCAGGACTTGGAAGGGTCCACTGAGGACTGGCTGGGCCAAAATCCATGGGCTGGGCTTTTCCTGCAGTTCAGGTCTCTGGTACCCCAAAGCCCACTGTGTGAGCCATGCTGCAGCCCTGGGAGCCTGCAGGGACCTGTGGCCTCTGCCAACTCCTGACAGCAGTCGTGGTCACTCCAGTGGTCTGCAGGAATAAAACCATGACATGGCATCAGTTTTCAGGAGTCTCCATCACTCCTGAATGAAAGATTTGTGTCCCCAGTCCTGCCCAGTGTGCAGGCTGAGCCCAGCAGAGCCAGGCCAGGCCGTGTCACTGTGAAGCCCTCAGGTGACAGTGGGCTCCAGAATGAGAGTGCAGGGCAAGGGCCTGCCCAGCACGGGCCACACACATCATTCACATTGCTTTGGCCAGTTCATTTTCTTTTAATCTCTAGTTTATCCTTTGAGCCACTACAGTAAATCCGTTTGCCTGGATGTTACAAACCTGGTGAAGTGAGGCAGAACCTCATTGCACTGTTGAGCTGGTGCTGAGGTTGAGCAGGGTGGGAGGCCCCGAGCTGTGCTGTGCAGAGATGCTGCAGGACTCTGTGGCCACTGCCAGGGGCAGGAAGCACTGAGTCCATGGAGGAGCCCTCCCAGTACAGACCCTGGGAGCTGCCCTGTGCTGTGCTGGAGTGTGCAGAGCAGTGCCCTGGCAGCCACAGCACCCAAAAATCCCCCTTGGCATTCAGCAGCACCCAAATCCCTGGCCCAGGGGAACAAGGGAACAAAGGCACTGTTGGGAAGCACAGAGCCAGACAATCTTCCACAGCTTTTCCAGACTTTGTGGGCAGGCCCTGAGACAGCCCTTCAGGCCTCTGCTTCAACATTTCCAGGAGGGTGTTTAGGAAGGGAATGCAGGTGACTGGGAAGTACAAGGAAAGCTGGCCCAGTGCTTCTGTAGGTGACACTGGTGTGGTGCTGAGGCCCCAGGTTCAGTCTCAGACTGGTCACCTGTGTTTAAGGGCTGCTTGTTACCCTAAGGAAGAGTAAGATAAGGGTTGGGTTTTTTTGCAGGGGAGGAAGCCATGACCTTTCTGGTTCAGTCAGGACTGGTGTTCATGGGCTCCCTAAGAGCCAATCCAGGCCACTTCAGCCAGAAGGCATTCAAGAAAAATACCCACCTGTTATCCCTTCACTGAATCTGGCCCATTTGCCTCCAAATTGAGGTATTTGACCTTTCTGCTGTATTCAGGGTCTGTGATTATGTGGCACAGGAGCATGTCTTGCCTCCTGTCTGCCTGGTTCTGCATCCAGTGTTGACCAGTCACCATCCCTGCTTTGTTCTCCACCCAGCAGAAAGTGCTTTCAGCAGAAGAGTGGAAGGCAAGATGCAAAACAACTTTGAAGAAACAAACAGCAATTCCCAGAACTCCAGTGGTAAGTGCGGTCACGCCTTCCTGCTGCCTCCATGTTCCTCTCCAAGCAGGATCCAGCTATGCTCAGTGAATGTTGATGTGTTAGGGGTACCTTGTTTAAGCTCACAGGCAGCCCTCCTGGGGTCGTACCTTATTCTCCCTCCTCCCCAGGTTCCTGGCACTCCAGCCCTGTCAAACAGGTGATGTGGGAGTCCTGCTGCCAAGGACCAGGACCTGAGCATAGATTTTTCAGAGGGGAGCCAAGATGTGGAGAAAGGATGGATGGAGATCAGGCAATACTTGTGCTGTGTCCGTGTATCACTGCAGTCCTGGTGGAGCAAAGACATTTGCAAGCAAGAGAAGTTTGAGGACTGTGGACAGAGCAGCAGTTTGCAGATTACAGTGATGCTGAGCATGACTGTTTATTTAAATGTCACTGTAACCAATGTCCAGCTGTTTGTGCAGTCACTGCATGGAGGTCACAGTGAATCAGATGTGTATATGTGAGACCAAAATACATGTGCTAGAAGGAATGAAAATCCCCTCCACTTGTGCAGTTTCCTTGCAGTGTTCAGTCCAAGTGGTAGTAACTGAACATAACCACTGGCTTAGACAATTTTGTTCAGGTCCAGCACCTGTAGAGTTTTCTGTGCAAGGTTTTTATCCTGCCTGTGTATTGCCTGGCCTTCCAGTAGGCCACTACTATTCTTCATGCTCCCTAACTGGAGCAAAAGTGACAGACCAGATGAAATGTAGTTTTGGCATCTTGCTGCAGAGATAAATAACATGCCAGCAGAAAAGCCTGGCCTCCCTCCATTCTCCATCCAAGAGAAGCAGAATATGTGGTGTTGGCAATGCCTCTGGCTGGAATGGACAGGTAAGGGGTGGGATATCTCCCTGGAGCAGGTTACACAGTGTCTGTTGGGGGTTATATCTGCCTCAGAAGCAAGTAAGGGGCTTTCTGGAACCATGTTGAAAAGAAGGGATGTGGTGTTGGAAAACCCATGTGTGGTAGCAGAGTGGGTGATGGGAAAGGGGGAAGAAAGTTGTTTGTTGCTAAAATACTGTGTGTTGTGTTTTGAGGAGCAATTCTGTACTAATCCATCATTCACCACAATTGCAGCTGGTCATTCGGGGACAGAAAAACCTAAAGAAAAGAGGTGTAAGCAGAACCCATCAGGTGAGCTTGTCTGTGTTTCAGGCCCTTAGTCCTGTTCCTGCTGGACACTCAGGAGTGCTTGGGGCTGCCCAGGCCCTGGTCAGTGAGCCCAGCCTGGCTGTCAGACATGGCTCAAGGCAGTGTAGTCACTGACTGCCAGAGTTCCCAGCCTGGCTGCAGCCCTGGATGTCGCCCTGGCCTCTCTGCAGCTCGTGTCTTGTCTTCTGTGGCTACTGGCAGTGTTTTGAAGGGTTTCAAAGCCTTTCAGTGCACATCTGTAAAGGCCAGTATTCCACTTGGGGCCTTGACTCCTCTGGAGCCCTTGGAAAGCAGCAGCCTGAGATTGTAGCTATTTTTTTCCTGTCAAACCCTCTACAGCCAACAAAGGAAGGGCAGAAATATCTTCCTTCCTATCAGACAGCTCATTCCTGAAGCCAAGAAATCTACATTGTAAACCTGCTGGCTGCTCTTGTCAGGTTTTGCAGGAGGGGAGAAGAACTGTAGCATGAACCTGTCCAGGAAGCACTGACAAGAAACACAAAGAGTGGCTGTACTGAACAGTCCAAGACTTCAGTTCTTTCTGAACTATTAAATACTGACCTACTCTTGCTGTTACACATCTCCCAGACTTTCCCTGCCATCTCCTTGTACCAGCTCACATCACACTCATCCTCCTCAATCTGTTTCTTTCTGGACTGCAACATTTAAAACACGTGAGGGAAAGTTCACAAAAAAAAACCAAAAAAAACCCCAGAAATTCTTACAAGTTGAATAGCAAGTTTCATGTGATTTGTTCATCTTGTTTCCCTGTAAGGAATGTTTCTGTCTGCACCACATGCAGTGTCAGTTTATTTTAGTGGCTCAGGTGAGGGCCTGGCAGGCTGCAGAGGAGTTGCAAGCTAAAGCTTTGATTGAGCCAGGAAACCTGAGGAACTCAAGTGAGCTGCTCAGGACTGATTTGAGGGGAGTTTGGCTCTGGTTGGGAGCACTTCCTTTCTGCATTAAGCAGCTGACATGCTCCTCAAAGCCAGGCTGGTGCATGGGGATGTACAAACGTCTTCCTTTTTCTCTTCCTTTATCTATCCTGCATCCTCTTTTCTTCTCCAGCTCTGTTTTCCCCCTTTGGCTCCATTTTTGTGCTGCTTCCTACGTGTCCCATTCAGTGCTCTTTTCCAGCCCTTGCACCAAGCCATTTCTCCTTTTATTCTTTCCAGTTCTCAGGAGTCCCAATGGCCTCATTGGCAGCAGCCTGGGTGAATATCCATGAGTTCACTGATGGTCAGAGAGGCCCTGGAGAGCTCTGTGTGCTCAGGTGTCCATACAGAGCTCTCTGTGGCTGCCTTTTGGAAGAGCTGACATGTCCTTGCCTCCTCATTTTCCTTCTTTCCATAGCTGTGTCTCAGTGGGTGGGACAAACACCATGTGGCTCAGTGTCACATGTGGGATGGGAACTCTTGGGTGATTCTGGCACCCTTGGCTTGTCCTGTCTTGTGCTCCAACCAGCAGATTTCTCCCAGGCAGGGAAGCAGGTGGTGGTAATGTGGTGGGGAATGACAGAAGGATGGACACTTCTGTCCTCCCACTCCCATCTGCTGTTTGCTTGTCACCAGACTGCTGCTATAAGGAACAGTCACCAGGTTTAGGAGGTAAATGTAGGTCCTAGCTGAGCAGCCAAGAGCTGTGTGACTTGGCCTTGTTAAATACCTGATGGCTCTTGCTCTCTGTGGCTGTGAGTTTTGTGTCACAGGCTCAGATACAGAGATACCAAAGAGAGCAGCCGGAGTTTTTTAGGCCACCCAGCTGAGGACATTCTCCTTTTTCCTTGTGTCACCATCCTGACTGCAGTGGCACAGACCCCTTGGTGTCTGGAGTGAGGGGCAGGACAAGCAGAGCAGGGAGGTCAGCAACTAAAACCACCTGAAATACACTGGGGTGCAATGCTGTAGAGAGTCCTGAGTGGGAATAAGAATGGCAGATATTGGATTTCAGATGTCTCTTCCCTGTGCACACAATCCCAGTTCTTGTCACAGTGAATGCAGGTACCTGGCAGCCTTATCTGTGTGACCTGGCATCTGGCTGCTCAGGAAAGAGCAGCTCTGTGCTGCGTGGCAAACCCTGCTTTGGGCTTGGTTTGAGTCCCAGCTTTGTCTCCCAGCAGGGTGGGATGGAGACAGGGAGTGGGTGAAGGCCTCGAGCTGTCATCCACATTATGATTGGAGAGTGTCCTTTGTACTCATGGAAAAGGGTCTCCTTATACACTTGAACTTGCTTTTTGATGAAACCTGGAAGTTCCACAGTGCTTTAAAAATAGCATCCTGCTAAAATGTTCCAGTTGCTTCCTTCTGCTGCCTCAGGAGCACAGGCAGCAGAGGTCCCAAGTCACATGGAGCTTCTGTTCATCCACTGCTGAACTAAGGGAGGAGCAGGAAGCAATGCCATGACCTGATCCTGAAGCATGGAATGGACTCACTGGGATAAACAGCAGAAGCTGTTATTCCTTAGGGTGCCATAAAGCTGCTTTCAAGGGAACCCTCCCTGGCAGGGGTCATTCTGCTGGCTTTTGACACATGCTGGGGTTTTCTGGTCTAAATTCTCAAGAGACCAAACAATATTTCAAGGCCAGCTTGTGCAATGTAAAAGGCAGTGATGGTCAGCCTGAGCATGGGTAGGGAAATCCCCAGAAAGGGGCTGAGCTGATTGTTGTGTTCCACAGGGAAGTTCGCTGCCTTCCTTTCCATCCATGTGTGTTGGAGAGGAGCCTTTGGCTGGGGCTGGGCCCTGCTCTGGTGCCCTCTGTCACCACAGGCCTCCCAGGCTCTGGGATCTCTCTTCCTCTGACTCCAGACAGGGACAATGACCTTCCTCAAGGGCTAGAACCATCTCTAACTCAAGTGTTTACACCCTAATGCAGCTCGAGCCATTGTTTTGGGCACTATGGATGACTCCGTTTTGAAACTAAGGCCAAGAGGGATTAAGGAAATTGTGAGAATCCAAGAAGTAAAATAAAAGCAAAAAGAGGGGGGGGAAAAGCTCTCTAGTTTCAAATACAGCCATCAAAGGGGAAATCTAATTGAAATTGTCAGTGTTTGTTGAAGTCTGAATTTGCTCGGTGTTATGGGTGTGAAAGAGAACAGTTAAAATTATGTAGGGAATTGGGAAATATTTTGAACTTTCAAGGTTGATTTAAGCTGTATAAACATGTCTCAATTTCATCTGTTGCTTTAGGGAACTATTACTGTCAGAACTTCCAGTGCAACAAATTTTAGCATTTACAGTTTTTAAAATGTCAACGCTTTTCATTCCTATTTACACAGGGAAGCTTTGCTTTCCAGCACTGTTTATTCCAGACTGGGGAAAGGATCAATGGAAATGTCTTCTTTTTTTGAATCAGTTTGTGCCAAGCCGAGATGAGATTGAGACCAAAAAAATTTCATTTCCTACATTTTATTTAGAGTAAAAATTCTTGGAAAAGCCTGAGAATCCCCCATTGTCAGGATTTAAAGGACACAGGACTAGATTTTAAACATGGATTTCCAGAAATCACAAGCTTTCTTCCGTGGTGTGGCCATGCATCCCCTTCTGTTCATCCCCTGTAGTCCAGCCATCACACAGCCCATCTGAGGGGATTTCTGCTGCAAAGACAGCACTTCCAGGATAGCATTTCTGGTGGGTGAGTGCAGCTTTAGTGTTTGGGGCATAATAATTCCTGATTACTGATTGCCGTGTGACATTAGCACAGCCAGCCCTCCATGCCTCTGCCTCCTGAGGTGCACCCAGCTGCCTCTCAGGCTCTGTCAGCACAAATACAGCTTCTATTAACATTCGTCTGGTAATTCTCTTTCTCATCTGTGGCTGGTTTGGGACAGCTGCAAGTCTCCATGGAGTTGGGAGAGCCAATGGCCAAAGTTGAGGAGTGAGGAAAAGGGGAAGGGGGAGTTGTTCTGTGAGCTCCCACTCTGTACTCAGCAGAGGGAGTGCTGATGATGAGGCAACACAATTGCACAAATAGACAGAGCTGCATTTTCAAAGCAGCCTGAAGTGCTGTGCCCAGGAGGAGGGGAAGCAGCTGAGTGCAGTTCCCACCAGGAGAATGAGAGTCACACAGGGAGACATTCAGCTGAGAAAGTGTCACTTTGCTTGGCTGCATAAATAAGTCACTGTGTCCACTGGGCATTTGTGTGGAGTTGAGGTTTCTAGGAATGAACTGTTTATTTCTGGTGCCATGTTAATTTAAGCTGTTCAAGAGGCAACTTGAAGACAGGAGGAAATATTTCTGGGTTAAAATAACCACTCAGCTTCCAGTCTCTGTGGGTGATATCCTGCCAATTGCTCCAGAGCCGTGAGACACTGGGGAAGAATTGAGGCAATCCATATGAAAGCATTGAGGCAAGGAGCACTCATCAGAACTGGGGCATGCAGCCAGGGATAGGGCCGAGGATTGCAGTCTGCAGGCACAGCTACTGGGCTGGGACTGGGCAGGGCATGGCCAGAAGAGTCCCTGCACAAAGTGAGCACAGAAAAACCTGAACTCCCATTTTGCCTGGAGAATCCTGTGGAGGGAAGGATTACAAAGCCCCAGTACAAGGTGATTTATCATTAATCAGTCAAACTCGGGCATTTCTAGGATTGTTGCCTGGATAGGTTGCTTTAGCAGAAGTGACTGTGCTGTAACATTGTAACATGTGACAATGCACGGATAAAAAATTGTCCAATTATAAATCTGAAGACCAGAAAAATCCTAAGTCTTCCTTTACATAAAACAGTGTTGTATTGAGTACCTGAACTGCTGTTTCATACTGACAGTGGTTTCCATGTGAGTAGCAAGCCAAGCATAACGAGGGCACTGTGTCAGCACTTGTGGCTGGAGAGCAGCCAGAGGTGGTGCTGAGAATTCCTTGGGCTGTTTTAAGTGCTCTGTGCCTGCTCCAGATCAGATTCTCTTCTGGGGGGACAGTGAAGTTGGGGTTTGCTCCTCAAAAGCACACGTGCAGCTGAGCTGCTGCAAGAGCCCTGGAGGCTTG